GAAATTAATCTTATAGTTCGTTCTATTGATAGCAAATTTATTTTTGTTGACTCAAACGCGAAAGCTAATGACAAATTCCTTATAACTGTCGGGGTTCAGTTTTACTTAGACTGTGCTTTTTCCCAGATTAAGTAATTATCAGTCAAAGATATAAAATTGACATCGTGGGAAATAAGAATCTGTCCGATACACACTAAGAAAGTAGACCACTTGGACGCGAAATCCTATTAATGATCACCTTTGAATATAGTTTCTAATTTCGCATACCTCATGACTATTACCTTGAGTCACTAATTAGAAGATTCCCATATAGGAACTGGGGGCTATTCTCTTTTTACGACGGTTACTTATATTTTGCTAATTTGAAGGTTTAGTTTTTAAGATTCGGGGTGTGCGATAGACTTACCTCCACGTGGTGAACCTTGGGCAACGTATACTCTTACGGCAAAAATGTCTATCAATGGGCAGTTGACTTCTGACTTCAAACTGCCATGATCCCACTGTTTTTAAGATTCAAAGGATTTTCCAAAAGGAAAGGGAATAAAACGCCTTACATTTTTTGCAACACTAATCCTGACAAAGAGCTTGCAGTAAACACCAGTTTTGTAAAAAAATGTTTAATTTAATTGATGGGTACCTCTCCTCCTACCCAATTCGTTTCTTCGATTATTTTAAGTTATTGATTTTAAAGTTTGATTCCTGACGATAAAGCTTAAAAATATAATTATACACACTAAAAATACGAAAAACCGGTTGCCATGCTGAATTTTAATAAGTGGACAATTGAATGTCCGGTCATGCTTTCAGCAGCCACAAATTCTCAAACGATATTTAAACACGATTTTTTCTCTCGTAAGAACAGTTTATATGCTTAAATCTTCTTATGTGGATATAACCACAAGTTTACTCGCAGTAGGGAATTTTTGGTATTTTTCTGGAATTTAATTTAACAATTTAGGAGTTTTCTGTTAGAGAATAAAATTAGGAATATCTGACAGTGCTAGTTTTGATTTCCTTCTTTTCAACTACTGAGATTATCGACCGATTTACATCTTTGCGAGATGCAATTTCGCCGAAATTTTAATTGTTTAAAAAACAATTTTATTTACACGCTTTCTATCACTTTCTATCACTATCTCAGATTCAAATCCTGAAATTCATTCTACTTAGACTGAACCATTAATTTCACTGGTTAAATTAATGCCTGAAATAAAAATAGTGCTAGATATATCTGAGTTTCAATGCTCTTTACGGTTAAAAAATATTAAGATATATAAAATTTATATCAAAATTGGGTAAATACTCTAAACTATGAGGATATTTTAATATCTTTGCAGTTGAGAAAAATTATTATTATTATTATGAAGAGTATTGTATGTATATTTGGAAACTACATATTAATTTGAGCTTAAATAAAAAATTAAGAAAACGATGCTTTCAATTAAGGAAGGGAATGCTCAAAAAGGAATAAAACATAAATATCATTGCTGCTAATTGGTTATCTATTTTTGGTAGATCAATTACCAGAAATAAATCATTTAAAATTTTCCCGAAAAACCCATCTGAATTAATTGCAATAAATCGTGACTGAGCGTTATTAAACAAAAATTTAGTCACTTAATTGCTTCTCACAATTTGAATAGCTTAACCAAGTGCTCAGATTAAGCTATATTTAACAAGCAATAATTATTTTTATTGGTCAATTCAGAATCGCTGCCTTCAAAAATGGAAAGTGGCATTGATACTACTCTACACTGGTCTATTTAAGTGGGACTTCACATTTGAACGGTTGTGCTTTGTTAAATATCGATCGGGTGTTGACTAATCCTTAGACATGCATACTTTTAGTGAACGGTTTGTATTAATTGATGTTTAAATTCACTTTAAGTGATGTATACACTTTCATCTACGTCACATCATGCTAACTGCTCAGCATAAAGCAATATATCACAATTATTTTATGATGTTCGAAAGATGAATTCGATTGAACTTAAAATGCCATTTAACATTATTCTTAAGTTTTTGCATCCAAAGTTATTTTTATTTTCTCAAAACTTTTGACACGGCAAACGTATTGAATAGAAACCTTTCTTTCCAATGTGAATGATAAAATATATACACATGCTTTGATTCATTGAAGAAAGTTTTAATCTGGGTCATCTGTAACTGAAGACAGCGTGGTAATATAGGAAAAAAGGTATTTGGTAATGAGAAAATAATGGACACAATGGAACGAAACTCGAATTGAGGAAGATAATGGATTCCCGTCACTGATTGTACCCTGAGGAGAAAGTCATCCAAATGAAATCGTCATAAAGCGCTCGATCACTTACACTGACACTTACGGTCTAATCGATGTCATCTAGTGTCACATTCTTGAATCAGAATTTGTTTACCACTGTATACTTCTAATTCGAGCAGTTTATTTGATTTGCCTCTACAGGACTCCATGTACGACTTTCGACTCATTATGGGAAATCAAAAGGAGTTTAGTTTGTTAAAATTGTAATTAAGCAAATTCTTAAATTTAATGGGACATAAATGTGCATTCGTAGATATCTCATGTTTTCACGAAATCGTCTAAAAGTGGCATATGCTACTTGTAGATCAAATGAATGGCTTTGTAGAAACAGATGTCCAGGCCACCCACATACAGTTTCAAATTCTTTATAACTTGGGAGGATCTCTTATGGGGGCAAAAGACGAAACTGTCATAGAAGAGCGTTAGGATTGTTTATTGGTCTAATAATCAAGCAGGCAATTAATCTTCCGATTGTATCTAGCACTGTTTTAATTTTAAGCCAGTTAAAACATTCTATTCTCCAACTGTCCAATTCACGAATTAAGTCAACTTTAATCACTTTTGAATGTTAGATAAATACTTAAATAAAATTAAGTAGATGAATTTAATTTTGAAACGAATGCCCAAGTGAGTTATTTGTGTTATTATTAAAAGTGATTCTCATCGACCCGCTTAGCTAAATTAACCTATTAAAACTATTTAACAAATAACTAATCGATTCTCCTGCCCGCCTAAGTGAAGTGCGGCCTCAAAGCATTTTCGACAAGAACAGATTAATTTAAAGCTCACTTTGAGTTTAAGAAATATGAGTCATTAGAGTCTGGAACTTACAATTAATAAATTATCGTGGTTTTATGTCTAGGCAGAAGACATCCCCAAGCACATACGTACTTCTAGAGAAATTAATTATATTGAAAATGCTGCTTCATATTCCCAAGGGGAAATATATCACCCAATTTTTCAGGTCAGAAAAAAAGTAAATTGAAAAGGTTAGCTGAGGCCTAATATGAAAATCGAATTCAAAGGTATTTTTCGACTTGATAAAATTCTGCCGAATTTAGGCATTAAAGTCATGTTGATGGCATACCAGTGGGGAGTCAATGTTTATTCCATATAAAGGTGCTTCAACAGCACCTAGGTGAACATAAATATGGCTCTTAGATGAATTCAAAATTTAAATGCCATTTCTAGATGACTGAGAGAGCTGTACCAAAACACGTTGGGGAATTTGTGATTCGTGAGGTTCCTTGAGCAATTGGGTGACATAGACGACATCAATGAGAGTACTTTAATCCAATTTATGAATGCATCAGTTTGTGATGAATTCTATTGGTCAGGAATTCTCTAGATTACACACTTTAAAAGTCCTCTTTCCAAGATTAGTAGGTAGTTTTTTAATCAATAAACACTCTCCTTAACACCCATTGGTTGAAGGTACAAATCCAAGCCCTACCATTTGACAACTAAAAATGTACTCCTACTAACTGAGGTTTGAAGTGTACTGTTTCAATTTAACTTCTGTACTATTGCATCATCTCCTGTTCCGAGAAAGCACTTGGAAATGGAAAATGAGAGTAATAAATACTACCATCAACAGTGGGACAAAACCTTATTTACTAATGTTGTAGTCTTGGTGACATAGAGGTCATCCAAACACTTGATTCTTCAACAACAACAACAACAACAACTCTGGTCTTGGCCCTATCATCATTTTACTACCCTCCACATTTGAAGAGCAGCGAAGAAGGACTCCGGATAATTTTTAATCTGACTGAAACAAAAATGGGAATGTGAGGGCATTAAAATTCTGGACGTATTGTACCTTAAAGTTCCTGTTCCAAAAATAAGGGGGCAGTGACTAAAGGTCAACTGGGTGACCATTAACGTGGCCAACAGACGAAGTCATAACTCCTTTGTCTTTTATTTGGGCGAATGAGGGTGTTGTACCAATCCCTATGCAAACAGAATACCTAAACACGGTGATCGAAATAGTGATTTGCGAGCACTTGTAATAATTAAGTTATTTGAAAGCAATAGCCAAAACGACCCTTTTTAGATCACACCAAATTGCATCTATCCACTTTAGATCAAATACTATTATTCATAATTGAACATTCATGGACGGTGAAAACGAAGGTATGAAGTGACAGCGATTTGATGGAATATTCGTTGACAAGTGAAGGCAATTAAAACATGCAAATAAATATCATCCGAACGTTAAATTCGAAACGAATGCCAATTTGTGAACATTTGACCCAGTTTCGATTCCACATTCGACGGTAGGTGCGATCAGCATTCACTTGCAGTAATTTCTGCCTTACATTGCCTTCAATCTTGGCATGTATGAACCTCCTCACCATTATATGGTTCTCCTGCGCTCAAGTGATTAGCCTTTTCTTTGTATCATTTCGACTCCCACTTTGACAAATGTGTCTGCTGTGGTATTCAATTTGTGAAATATTGACATCAAGTGAAATGGTGCAGTCAGACTGTACCTGGCCAATAACAGTGGGCAATAAGTTTGGGACTCACAAATACCCATCTAATACCGTTCAGCATCCACAATCGTGACACTTAAAAGTCTTCTTAACTAATTAATAAATAGATAAATTTGCAAAAAACAATATAATTCAATAAATAGGAATTCACCGAGTGGTGCTATGTTGAAGGTAAAATCTATCTACGATTTTAAATTAATCTAATCGTAGGGATTTTTTCGATCGAAGGACTTTGAGCATAGAAAGCGGTGTGTTCGTTGCAGCGAAGCCTTAGGACAAATAACCAGTTCGTAGAAGAAGCAGGCGACGATAGTTCCAAAAATTGGGCCGACAAAATAAATCTGCAACAGATGGTTAAACGATCTTTAGGCAGTAAATATCAATATCCGAACTGTCTCTTCAGTCACGGATGTAGCTCAGAGGCTGACAAAAATGAGCTAAATTTAAAATGTCAAAATTTTAAACACGTGAAACGGATGGAATTGGATATAGGTTCTTCTTGGTTTAAACACAAATATCATGTGGTGAAGTGAAATTCATTCCATTTTATAAATAATGGCTTTTTAAGGAGATTTGATACCACAGACAAAGTCTACTTTAAACAAAGAAACCCCTTTGTTTGATTTTCTCTAATTACATTTATCTAAATCCATTTGCTACGCTGCTTGAAAATCGAAGGCTAGGTTATAGTTTCAGAATTAGATGAGTTGAATGGATTTCAACAGGAAATTATCGTGTTGAGTTTATGACATTGAGTGATTTATTTTCAAGTGGCCACTAGGCATTTCCCCATGAATTAGTTCATTCGTCGTGGTGGAATTGATTTCACCAAAACACATGTACAAAAATTTTATAACTTTCTGAACAGAATGTACTACTCACTCTTTATAAGTAGATATATTATTCTTTCTGACAGTGAAATCAGAAGAGGAAATATTAAGAATAATTCTCATGTTTCTATCATAAGTGAACCAAGTTCTAAACGATACGTGGGAAACCCATGAAAGTGACTCAGTCAAAGGTGTCTTATTTCAAATCCTATTTACGTACCGATATTAGGCAGTGGAGTGGTGGTTTGATAGGAAAGTTGGTTGGATTCCCCTTATGTCACCGTATTAGAGACAAAATAAATGACGTTTCTAACGTCAATTTACTGTTGAATGCTCGAGTTTGGTATTGAAGTGGGCACTCAGCTGCACAAGTAGATAACCAGGAGACTCAATATTCTCATAAGCCCATTAAAATGTCCTTACAACGACACTTTTGGATTTTAACAGGTACAATTGGCCAATATTAAAGGTTGTATCTCTTTTCTTCCAACCCCCAGGTCACTATGATTCCACTATCTTCTCATGGACGAAATCCGTCTAAAAATTCTATTAAATACATCTCGTCGCTTAAAGATTAGGGGACACTTTCAGTGAAATGTGTGGCTAGGAAGGAATTGACTTACCCAAAGACGGTCGTAGTTATTTTGGATGATTGCCGCTGCAAGACTTCTTGCTGGATTCATGCTGGTTCCTGAAATGTGTGCCTAAGAAGAATTAGTAGTTGCCTAAGTATTTGGTATGTAATAAACTGTAGAGAAAATTCGAAATTATGTCAAATAAATAAAAGAAACGAACCTCTTCATCCTCCCTCAAACAAAGCAAAGCATGCCCCCTTAAACATAGAGCCCCTTCCATGACAATCACCGTTGAATACTCCAGAGTCATTAGTGCCCAAGACCAATGATTGTGAAGCAAGTTGGAGGAGACTGCTATTCCCCAACTGTTGGTTGTTTCTTCCTAATTCGTTTCCTTTTATCTGCTTAAATTTGCCTCATACGTCATGCCTTCTGATTGCTATTGGCATCGGTAAAAAATGTCTAACTAATTTTGATCTTACCGAATGCATATAGATTGATAAATAGGGTGCTCTCTGATGAAATAACATACAATCCTGTTTCGAGGTACATTAAATTGAGATGTGGTCACTGTGGATGTCCTCATGTAACGGAACTAAATTTGCTTTCACTGCACTTATTTATGTGCATGTCAAGTATCATCTAGCTCGTTTGTTTGATCAAATTATATTTTTAATTTGCTCTGTTAAAGCCACGAGATGCTAATGCCCAATGTGATAAATTGAGGTCACAATCATTGTGGCGAAGTGTTGGATTGGAGCATGAGGACTGGCTGAACAATACTGGTTAATAAACAAGGAAAATCAGTGATGGGAATGTGGTGCTCGTCAGGAACGAATCATGACATCTGAATTGTGAAACGTGAACTTCTCATTTTGTGAACACTGAGTAAATCGAGTCAGAGAAACATATGAAGCAGGATCTCACATCTCCTCACATTCGAAATATCTTCACATTTTGGCATTTAATTTGCCGAAGTTAAAATGACCTATTTAGACTACAGAAAACCTCTAAAGTCTCAGCAAACTTGGGTGTATCAACCTGGTAAGCATTGCAACAACTTATGAAAGTGATTTTCAAATAGACACCTCATTCACTCTCCTACTTCTAAAGAGAAGAGTGCACTTGTATTCACGAGTGACTTAAATAGAATTGCAGGGGTTGTCCACGAGGCCGCCTTCATTTAGTCTCAATTTACCAGTGTCGATTCTCCTCTCTCTCAGTGGGCACGTGTTAGGCGGTTTATGCAAATAAACATATGTAAGTGTGTATTCTCTATTGTGGCATAGAATTCTCAGTGCGATTTCGAATTTATTGACAATACTTGTGAAATAATGAATTTTGATAAATAACCCATGACATGACAAGTTCATGCAATTGAAGGAAAGCTTTCTTCATCGAAAAGGCATGTACTCCTAACAGTTATTTCAATTTGAAATAAAAGTGAGTCTCAATATTTGTTATTTTTAAATGACTAACTAATAGGCATTCATTTAAAGCAAACATCTCGTTCTTTTAGGATGTGGGTTTCGTTTCTGGTAAATCAAAGTTGCATTAGTCCTTATCAGCAGTTTTTTTCTACCAATAAGAATTAAAAAGGAGCACGATGTAACTCAACAACTGATTTGAGGGAAATATGAAGGATCAACCATCAAATATATTCCTGTACACAAGAGTATGGAGTACAATAACCATGAAGATGTCAACGTTATGTACAGCTGCAATTGGAAAATTAAATTAAACACCACTTGCACGTTAAATTTACAGTGGCACGTTGCTTTGTGATTAAGACGATCTAAGTTGAAACCGATACAACCATTTCAATTCACTGAAGTGGTGCTGATTTTCCACGGTCGGGGTTTGCAATCAGATATGAGCAACTAGCTTTAACCAGTTGCGGTACGTACAATAGTGACACAATTTAAATGAAATTGAATGACATGCAATGGAGAACTTAGAAAGAGATAAGTTTGCCCCAGCTTTAAATTGTATTAGTTTTGCTAAGAAAAAATGTATCAACTTACACAGCAGTAAAATCTATCAGAAAGCCATTTGGTATGTTTGGCTTAAAAATTGTACAATTTGAAGATCTCAGAAAGGCTGTTAGGTTACAATAGCAAATCATGAATTAATACAGAACTCATCTCCTCGAAGCCAGAATACTGTGCAATATACATTCATTCGCCCTCAAAGAAGCATACCATCGAATCGGTGGCTATATAGAGCTCCTATTGCAAGAATAATCTCATGAAATAATGACCTTAACTTAAGTATGAAATTGCTATGTGTAAAAAGGATTTGTCTTATAAATAACAGTAATTGTTAGGTATGCAAATAACGAGTTTCTGCTAGGAATATATAATCAGGCCTCACCGTGGTCACCACATTAATCACGACTGTAAGCAATATCGCCAGTGGAAATGGAGCACCATATTCCGGTCGCCATTCTCGGGCTCTCAATTCATCCAACGAGGCCAAAACCACCGTTACGAGAACAAAAGTTATCCATGCTTCTGTAATAGTCGCTGCCAAATCGCTAAATCCTTTCCCTGGTAGAGTCATTCCATACGTTCTTGATTTCTGATCGGCAAATGGCGTTACAGATGATGCTATCACCATTGCTAACAATGTGCCAAGGAAATCAGCGACGAGATATACAGGAGCCAAGTAGGGCGGAAGACGTCGAGTTATTAGAGTAGCGAGTGTTAAAATCGGGTTTATGTGCGCACCACTGACTGGAAAACTACACCAAATTGCTATGTAGAATGAAGCTCCAGCAATAAATCCTGCAACTATTGGTACATTGGGTTCGCTCATGTCCATCAAAAAGCAGCAGTAATTTGCAATGCTAGCAGCCAATGCCTCAGCAAAAAATATTTGGCAAATTTTCCAGCATTCCACATAGTGTGGGTATGATTTCATGATATTTGATTTCTCTAAATTTGCAAAAAAACCCATCTAAATATAAAGAAGAATGAAAAGTAGATATGATTCAGTTCTGAGATTACTGAGGAACATAATGAACTGATTTAGCACAGAGTTTAGACTAGTTACTAACAGATTCCTGCACCATGAGCTTGAATGGCTATATTTCAAGATAAAGTTTGAATTTGTATGAGACAAACTTGACATTGAAAGACAAGGGCAAAATGTCAAATTGGGATGGAATGCTATTAATTCTTCCTTTATGAAGTTGGTTGGCTTAAGATGAAGCTGATAATAGCAAGATTTGGTGGCCATGTGAGAGCATCAATGAAGTGTGGTGTTATTCATTACAGTGAAAGCTGATCTGTGCAAGGAATGTGAATAGCACTGTAAATTTAAACCACCTAATTGTCTTTTCGTAAGTGAAGCAGTCAGGCCAAAGTGACCGAATGCGTAAATAGCTAGTTGAACCCCTAAATTTCACTGATAAAATATAGAATAACTAAGGCAAACAGGAAAAGATTGAAGAGAGAATAAAATGAAACATTGGGTATATTGCAAAAGTGGCTAGAAGACGTCACGAATGAAGCAATTGAGTTCAGAAAAAGATGTACGATATGTACCCATTCAATGGGTCTGGAAGTGAAATTGGCAGAACTTTGCCAACGCAATTCATTGATGCCCAAAATTTTAAGTTTCAGTGTTAGAATCCATTTGGTAGTTATCGAGTGATAACTCAGTTCAAGAGGCTCAGAAAGAGTTTTCAATCCGTCGGTTTTTGACATGACATAATAGAGACCCTTGAAATGACGTACATGAAGTGTTTCATTATGATCCCGTGATTCTAATCTTCGATTTCATTCACAGTTGAAACAGCAAAGTCTAAACACGATTCCTTCAATTATAGAGAGTCTGATGTATCTGTTAAGAGAATTCAACAGTTCTGCATTTATGAAAACAAACAACAATCAAAAAGTGGAATTAATTCAAATCGAATGCCCTTACCTGAAATGAATTTCAAAGATTGACTTTTGTAACCAAAGGAGATCAATGGAGTAATTCGAGAAGAGTGTTCGAAAACTACTAAGTTAAAATGTGAATTCAAAGCTATTATTCAGCCTGATGCAAATATTCCTTCTATTGGTTAGAAATTCTCTTGTTTACGTACTTTAAAAGTCCTCATCCCAAGATCAGTGGCTAGGTTTACAATCGATAAGCACTATGCACAGCACCCCCTTGGTGTAGTCAAAATTCCAATCCCTTTTATTTATCAGTTAAAATGTACTTTTATAAATTGAAGCTTAAGGGGGTATTCTGATCTAGAGACACGAATTTTAGGTCATTTTTGAAGTGCAGTAAAAAAGCAAGCAATATTTTTATTATCAATTTTTTATACATTATTTATTCACCTTTGAAGCATACAAAAAAAATAAAAAATAAAAAATTTAAAATTTCGTTCGTTATCAGCTGATAGAGTGGGGCATCCCAAAAATATGGTGTATAACCATACCCACGATTTTAACTCTCCAAGAAATCTGAAATCAAAAAATAGAAAAGATTATCAATCTAAAATAGTGTCGCTATGTCAGGAAATGCGGAAAAGTTTTAGATATATTTTTTCACAAATGGCGACTGTCTAAAGAAAAAAAATTTTTGTACCACTTTTTTGAAAATTCTTCGATTTTTTAAAAATAGTAAAAATTAGAATTTGTGGATGGCCGTAGTTCCGGACATAGCCAGGTCCCTAAAGAAGACTCTCTTAAAATTTCAAGTAAATCAATTTTGCAGAATCTGAGAAATCGTGGGTATCAGATTCAAAAAAACAGTTTTGAGAAAAACGCGTTTAAGGTTTCAAGTAAAATTTTTGCAGTCGAAGTCATAAAATTTTATTTTTCACTTACATTGATTCAATCTGACATTCCTGCTGCATACATCGGACCTTCCTCGACTTCGAAAAAGCAGTTTTCGGCGTCTCTGTTTTCTATTCGAGCTGTTCTGACATTCTTTGATGCGCTGGATGCTCGTATCTGGGAGCGGTCGATCCGGGCGTTGTCTCGTCTGATAGCAAATGCTTGCGCTTCTTGACCAATTGTCACTCCCATAATCGTCATTATCTTCAATATCGGTAAAAATCCTTCATTAAAAATACACACAGCAATGAATGTTTCAATTTCAATGATCTGAGACCCAGAATGGATATCTTTGGAGCGAAAGTCCATATCAGCGAGTTTAGAGACTCATTATTTTGAGTTTCTGAACTCGAAAATCGAATCAATAACTCTTCTGATAATAAACTTCGAAGGATTTGTCAACTAATCCTCATGACGGAATGTTGCGTAGACTATTGCAACTGCATTGTAATGCAATTTTGAACCCGAGTCCGCGTTGAGCCGTTCTTGAAAATATAATTTCGTTGCTATATGTAGTACACGAAATAAACGAAGAAAATGCTGAAAAGACCGTGGAAAAACTCCAAAACACAGTAGCCGTAATTTTTATCTATAATTACTTCTTCATCATTTGATTTCCTCAATTTTGCTGCTGTTGCACTCGTAAAAATGGGATTTTCCTGTTCCGTAAATCAATTGCCGTGAAATATATATATATATTTATTTCAAATGGCAGGCGTTATAATAGGTATCATTAGCCCTTTATTTGACTTCGTGCCTCACAGAAAGGAACACCCAAGTGGCAAAAAGTCTAGAAGGGGGACAGAATAATGAATCACAGACGTAAAAGGGACAGACAGACACAAAGGTAGAGAAGAAGGTGAGATGAGTACTGTAGAAGTGGTGAAATTTTGCATAGAGTGTGGACATGGTAGTTTGAAGTCAAAAGTCAACTATCTGTTTAAAGACTTTTTGCTGTATGAGTATACGTTGCCCAGGGTGCACCACGTGGAGGTAAGTCTTGGCACATCCCGTAAATAGAAACATCAATAGTGAGACAGCCTTGATTAATAGAGTTATAGATTTGGTGAAATAGATCTCATCCAAACACACAATGTTAGCGCTTAATTCTCCAACTGCTGCATTGGTCTTTGCCCTAGTATTCCACTATCCTCTGCATTTGAAGGGCAGTGAAGAAGGGTTCTGGATAAATGTTAACCTGATTGAAATAAATATGGACATGTGAGAGCATTAAATTCGGGACATTTTGTACTTTAAAAGTCCTGTTCCGAAGATTAGTGGGCAGTGTCAAAAGGTCAACTGGGTGAACATAAATGTGGCCATCAGATGAAGTCAAAACCTTTTAACGGGCGATGGGGAGAGCTGCACCAATCCCCATGCAGACAAACTACCAAAACGCAACACAAATAAATTATAGTAATTTGCGAACACCTTGATCTAGTTGTTGGAATCGGAAAGGAAGAAATCATTGAGAGTGAGCAACAGATCGTTATAGATTATGTAAAGTATTGGATTGGCAACTAAGTCATTGCCGTTTTGTTGACAGATTCACTCTATACTTTCTTTTATTTTGTTAACGTGGCCAGAGCATCTAACCTATATTTTTTCTTACTGTATGGGCTTCTAGGTTAATTAGTAAATAATTTTTTTGTTTAGTTCTTTAGTTTTGTTTTTATCCCAATTTAAAAATGGAAGAACAGGACGTGCACTTCCGACACATTTTATTGTATTTCTTCCGAAAAGGCAAGAACGCATCGCAAGCACAAAAGAAGTTATGTGCCGTATATGGAGATGAAGCCTTAAAAGAAAGGCAGTGTCGAAATTGGTTTGAAAGATTTCGTTCCGGTGATTTTTCACTGAAAAGTTCACAACGATCTGGCCGCCCAGTCGAAGTGGATGAAACCCATATCAAGGCCATTATCGATTCAAATCGTCACAGCACAACAGGGGATATTGCAGAGAAGCTCAATGTGTCGCATACATGCCTTGAAAAAAATTAAAAACCCTTGCTTATGTCAAGAAACTTGATTTATGGATCCCTCACCAGTTAAAGGAAATTCATTTGACGCAACGGATTAGCATCTGTGATTCGCCGCTACTGAAACGCAATGAGAATGATCCATTTCCGAGGAAGAACCTAGTTACTGGCGACGAAAAGTGGATAGTTTATAACAATGTTACTCGCAAGAGATCATGGGTGAAGCAAGATCAACCAGCCCAAACAGTATGAAAAGCAGAGATTCACCAAAAAAGATTATGCTGTCAGTCTGGTGGTGGGATCACAAAGGAATTTTGTATTTTGAACTCATGCCGCAGAACCAAACGATAAATTCAAATGTGTATGTTGAACAACTCGAAAAACTGAAAGAAGGATGCAATTGAAGATAAGCGGCCGCCGGCATTATCAAATCGGAAGGGTGTTGTTTTCCATCATGATAACGCAAGGCCCCACACACATTTGGTTACTCGGCAAAAATGATTGGAACTGGGTTGGGATGTTTTGTCACACCCACCATATAGCCCTGACCTTGCGCCTTCGGATTACCATTTGTTTCGTTCCATGCAAAACTCTTTAAATGGTAAAATTGTTAACAACGCGGATGATGTCGGATCACACCTAATTCAGTTTTTTAATAGCAAAGACCAGACATTTTACGAACGGGGAATTTTTACTCTGCCAGAAGGATGGAAAAAGGTCATCGACAAGAACGGCCAATATCTAATTGAATAAAGTTATATTTTTAAACAAGAATTCCGAATTTGCCTTCTTATTTGAAATCGACAATGACTTAGTTGCCAACCTAATAGATAGTGTTGCACGTGTTTGCGCCATTTGTCATAACCTCTTATTCACGGAATAAACGCACTAGACACAGTTTTTTGCATTCCAATCAGTGGAAGTCGTCCAGATTCATGAGAAGCAACAGGACTCGTACTTCAGTGGAATAAGATTTGGTGGAACATTAAACTCTGTGGAAATATTTGTCAATCTCATTCCCTCCGCATCGTTGTCTCAAGCTTCAAATAAACTACTACACCCATCTGCCAGTTGGCCTTGGTATTTAATGCTGTAATGAATTAATATGGCCTTTTTAAAGTCCCATTTAGCATTATTAGATTGATTTGTTGTTAACATAATGGCTAATTTTTTACCAGCGAAATGGAATGGATTGGACAAGGGTTGTCATGGTCTTATTGCACTGGTTAAAAATAATTGGTGAACGTGATGTTTGTGTGTCATCTTTGCATATTCCTACTTCCCAAAACGATGACAAGTTTGATTTCTTGGGAGTTAGATGCTAACCCAACTACTTTTGGAGCTGGCAGTATGCTAGTTGGCTGCGCGACCAGAATGCAAGCATGTGAAAAAGAATATTTGCAGGCTTAAAGCTTTGCATACCTTGATGGGTAACAAGCGCAAAATTTGTTAATGCGAATGCCAATTAGCATCCTCAGTTTATGGTGGAAGGTATGAGTACGGCCTCATTTATGCCACATTTAGCATTATTAGGTTGATATGTTGTTAACATAATAGTTAACTTTTTACCAGCAAAATGGAATTCAAGAGTTCTTAAGCAGATCGAATGAGGGTTGTGAAGGATTTATTGCACTAGATGAAAATAATTGGTGAATGTGATTTTTGAGTGCCATCTTTGCATATTCTCACTTCCCGAAATGTTGGGATGTGGGGTAAATTTGATTTTTTGGGAGTTGAATGCAAAACCAACTAATTTAGAAGCTGGCAGTTGGTCGCGGGACCTGAATTCATGTCAACGAAGCAGATTATTTTTTATCAAAATGAGGTGCACAACTTGATAAATACAATGAATGGAATGCTCAACAAATTGGTGGAATTAGAGCCATTATAGCTGGATTTTCTGTTCTTTAATATTACATAATCTCTTTCATAGATATTTCAGTTGTATCATCAATGCTACTCAAGGTATTTCGCACAGGTTATATATATGTTGCCATGAACCGAAGATTAACATCTCGATTTTTTGGCAAGACTGGCAAATATTTGGCTGAGAAGATCCGTTGATGAGTACCCTAGAAAATCAGGAACTAAACGACTTTTCTCAATTTGTAAAATTTCATGATCTGAATGATAATTCTGGGGCAGAATGCAATTTTTAGTTTAAATAAGATTCTAGAAGAGCCCGCAGAAGATTGTACTTGACACTTTCTCTAGAAATGTCCATTCAGCCCTATCCCAGACATATATTTGCTAGTGAGGGCTGTAGCTAAGGAATTTAAATGACTGACTACAGTTCATTATCACATTGACTATGCTTCGTTAAGGGTGAGTTAACTACTCCTATTACAATTCTCCCGTCCACTTGACTTGCCATTAAGTTGGATTGAAAATACTCGATGCCCTAAAGTAGAGCATACCTCATCTGGAGAAAATTATTTCCACTTTTTTAAATGCTGACATCAGGTGAAATGGTACACTCAGTTTTTGCCTGATCAATAACAGTAAACAGTATGATTGCGACCTTTAAATCGACTTCTGGCAACATCCAGAATCTACAACCCTTTAAATCTCGTTAACAAATCAATAGTTGGATTTACCTCATTCATTTAATCGTCAATTATCAATATAATACAATAAGTTGGCACTCTCGGAGTTTTTATGTTTGTTTTAAAATCCCTTTTCACTTTGAGTTGATATTATCGTAAGGATTTCTTCGATCGAAGGACTTTGAGCATAGAAAGTGATGTGTTCGTCGAAGCGAAGCCTTTGGGCACATAAACAGTTCATAGAAGAAACATGCGACGACGGTTCCAAGAAATGGGCCTGCGAAGTAAATCTACAATAAAAAAGCTGTCTACTAGGTCATGGATAAGGCTAAGGGTTGGCCAGAATACAAGAGATTTAAATTGCAACTCTTCTAAATATCCTCCCCACGTGAGACGCTACTGAACTCAAATCAATAATGATTCACTTGCTGCAATTTTTAATGATGCATTACTCCATCTTCATTGCTTTAATTGTAGAAATACTATATTGAAGTTAAGATTTCATATCGAAACTTACATTCCTCAAAGAGGAACCAGGTTTTATCTCATCAAGATTTCCCATTTTCCTCACTTTCCATAAGTCAATATGTAATTTTTATCACATGAGCAAATAAAACTTACACAAAAAGAGCCTAATCCGAAAACTCTAACATTGGGAATATGGAATGGGCGTTAACCTGAAGTTTCTGTGAAGGATTCGATGGAGAATAAACTTCATTCGAAAACCTAATTGGTCAGCTTGGAAAACTAAAAGAGCCGCTTTCATCCATTTTTTGAACAAAAATTAGAAGCATTGAATAAGAGGGAGGTTCTTCTTGGTTTAACCATGAATATCTTGTGGTGAAGTAAAATCTACTTCTTTTTACAAACACCGTCTTTTTGAGGTGATTATGTGCCTCGTGTTATATTGCGCTTATTGCAAAAAATTTAGCAATAAATGACTGCTTGATTAGCTTTAATTTGATTTTTTGCCAATTTTCCACTAGCAGTATTTTAAAATTGAATGAGTTGAGTATAATAGAAATGAGCAGGAAATAGAAGTGTTAATTTTAAGACATCGAATAGTTTGTTTTAAAGAGGCCACGAGACGTTTCCATATGAATTATTTAATTAGTTGGGATGGTATTGATTTCAGGTAAAACATATATTCAAAAATTCTAAGTGACTTTCCGAGCGGGATGTACTACTTTCTCTTTTATGAGTAGATATATTATTCTTTCTAACACAATGAAATCAGTAAACGAAATATTAAGAGTTATTCCCATGTATCTACTAAAACTGAACCAAGTTCTCAACCGTACGTGGTAAACTGTATTAAAGTGACTCAGTCAAAATTAATCAATGTTCCGATATAATGCTATCGAATGGTGGTTTAAAGGAAATGACTTACCCAGAGACGGTCGTAGTTATTTTGAATGATTGCCGCAGCAAGGCTTCTTGCTGGATTCATGCTGGCTCCTGAAATGTGTATCTAGAGGGAAGTAGAGTAAGCCTGTGTATTTGGTCATAAATAGACTCTAGAGCTAACGTCTATATTAATTAATTAATTAATTACATTAATTTTCCCTACTTTGCTGTTTACTTCTAAAACAAAACGCTGTTCTTTGAATTTAGACCTTTTGAGATGCTTTTAGATTGATTAATGAGGAGTCATCTGATGAAACAACTCTCAATCTCATTATCTTCATCACCAATGTCTCCAACCAACAGAACAAAATATTTGTCTTTATTGCGAGGTCATCAACTCGGAGAAGACATGGAAACATCTCTTGAGATCGGACTTATTCATGTATATATAGCCAGTTTGATCAATCAGACTATATTTTCACTTTGCTCTGTCAGTGCTATGAGATGCAAATATCCCATGCAACAAATTTATTTCACAGTCTTTGAGGCAAAGCGTTGGATTGGAGCATGAGGACTGGTTGAATAATACTGGCCAATGAATATTGAACATCAATGGTGGGAATGTGGTGTTCACCAGGAATGAATCATGACATCTGAATTGTAAAACTTGAGGTACTTATTTTGTAAACTCTGCGCAAACGGACTCAGAGGATCAAATAAAAAAGGATTCACTGATCTCCTCACATTCAATATATCTGCACATATTGGCATATTTGATTTACCATTGGTGAAAATGGCCTATTTGGACCCATTGACAACCTGAAATACATCATAGATCTTAGAGGTATCAATCTTGCAAGCATTGCAACAACTCAAAAGTGTGATTTTCAAATAGATGTCTTCACACACGTTGTCGTAAGCTGAAATTGACCAAACGCCTCATTCACTCACCTGCATTAGGAGAAAAGAGCGCATTTGTGTTCACGTGTGGCTTAGAGGGAATTGGTGGGGATGCCTGTGAATCCTTCTTCAGTTGGTCTCGGGCATTTATTGTTGCAGTTCCAATTTTGTAAAACAATATTTGTGAGTTAATGAATTGTGATTGTTAACTCATTACAAGTGCATTCACTTGTGATGAAGATTTCGGCATCGAAAAGGCTTGGTTTAAGTAAGCACCAATAACTTTTATTGCAATTTGAAATAAAATTGGGCTTCATTATTTGTTGAAATGAACGCTTTTTTAAAACAGCCTAACAGGTATCCATTTTTAAACTATTCATTCGTTCATTTCAAAAGTGGATTTCGTTTCGAGTACATCGAAGTTGCATTTCACCGTCTCAAGAGTTGCTTGTACCAATTAAAATGAGAAAATCTGAATGTGGTACTTCAACATTCAGAATAAGTGATTTAATGGAAAGATGAAGAAACAATCCTGAAGACACAACCATCAAATATAATCGAATACACAAGAAGAAGCAGCCAAATAACCATGATGATACCAATGTAATGTGCGACCATAATTGCAAAATGAGACGAAACTCCACTTGTGAGTTTGAATTAGTGTCGTGTTGTTTTGTTTTGGCATTTAGGCCTTCTACGCTGAAACCGATTATACAATTTTCGCATTAGATTTCTGAAAAATTCGAGGAGATGGCTTTTGACAGTCGAGGTTTAGCAATCGGATTTGACACAACCCACATTCACCAGCTACAGTGTGAAAAACCTAGAGATAGTAATTTTTGCCCCGATGATAAATAGCATTTGTTTTAGTTACAAAATTAACTTTCGGAAGCCAATGCCACAGATGTGGGGTTCAAAATTGCTCAAATGGAGCGACTGAAGACCGTTCAAACTCTTATGAATTCGTAAAGGTCGTAAGGTGTAGAATTGCAAGTCATGTAGTCAGATCCACAAATACGGAATGATGTGCAATTTGCATCCATTCGCATTCAAAGTTCGATCTAATCACTCAATGCATCCTCAATGGTCTTAATCCTCAAAACTCTTTGATGGGAAGGAACCAATCATCGCATAAGAGACTATATAGGGCTTCTAATTCAAGACTGTACTAATCAAATGATGTGTTTGCAAATAAGTGTTTACATCGGCTATTTCATATTACGCCTTCGATATAGATTTCAGATGTGATACATTTAACGTAAACTAAACACAAGTAAATAGAACGTAAATAAAAGGCAGATGAAAGATAAATAGATACCTAAACGAAATAAGAAGAACTACCTTCATTGAAAATGACTTGTGAGATAGACTTGCCACCACGCGGTGGTCCCTGGGCGTTGCATAGAAGTCAATAAACAGGGTATTTACTCCAAACTACCATGACCCAACTGTATGTCACCTTCTATTCTCTACCATTGTTTCTTTTACAACGGTAAATCACTTTTCTGTTCCTCATCTCGACTTTTGTGACTTAAATACTCCTCCCTTCTGTGAGGTTCGAAGTCAACTAAATGGATAATGATAAGTAACATAAAGTCTGCATTTGAAATAAATAAATAACTAAATGTCGACACCTAGCACACCTAGTCCACTTCGACTCTTTTTGTCTCTCAATTCATACGTTGTTCACCTCAAGCCGTGGTAATTGATTTCAAATCTTTTCGTGTGTGAATAACTGTTTCGCTTCCCCCAAAGTACTCATAGCACTGATCGCTCGATAATGCTTGCAACATGTTTTAAATATTTCAGAAGAAATGCAGTAAGCAAAATTGCGAAGATATGAATATATATATATATATATATAAGCTCTTCTCACCGTAGTCGCAACATTAACAATGATCGTAACCATAATTGCCAGTGGAAATGGAGCACCATATTCCGGTCGCCATTCTCGATCTCTCATTTCATCCAATGAGGCCAAGCCCACCGATATGAGAATAAATGTTGAGCCTGCTTCTGTAAAAGTCGCTGCCACATTACTGACACCTTTCCCTGGTAGAGTCATCCCATAGGTTCCAGGAGCTTGATCGGCAAACGGCGATACAGACCATGATATCGATATTGCAAGCAAAGTGCCAAGGAAATCAGCTATGACATATAGAGGAACCAAGTAGAAAGGTAGACGCCGAGTTATTAGAGCGGCGAGTGTAAACGTAGGGCTTACTTGGGCCCCACTGACTGGAAAACTGTACCAAAGTGCTACGTAGTATGAAGCTCCAGCTATAACGCCTGCAACTATCGAGAGATTGGGTTCACTTGTGTCAAAAAGAAAGGAGGGGAAGTGGGAGACTCCGGCAGCCCAAACTTCAGCGATAAATATTTGGCACATTTTCCAGTATTCCGTATAGTGTGGGTATGCCTTCATGGTATTCGTCTTCACTGAATTATGAAATCAAATATCATCTGAATTGAAACACGACATAAAAGTAAATGTAATTCAATTCAGAGATAACTCAAGAACATATTGAATTATTTAGCACGAACTAGATTTTTAATGCTCGACTCTAGGCTGAGGCTCTATTTAAGAATGAAAATCGATAAAAGTTTGAAATTGTAAGAGACAAACTTGACCTTGTCTAATAAGACATAATGTCAAACTCGAATAAGACGCGACTGATTGATTATTCCTCTATGAAGTTGAATGGTATCTGGCGAAGTTGAGTTGGCAACTCTATGTGGTCTTGTGAGTTCATTACTGAAATATGTGCGGTTATTCATAACTACCATCTTAAGTAAATTGTCTTTTTGTTAGTAAAGTCGTCAGACTTCCGTAACTGCATGTTAGAATGGCAAGAAGCGAGAATTTATGAGACACCACGGTTCCCCTAATTTGCTTTTAGCCATTGTAAGACTAATTGTCGATGAGTTCAAAGCTCCTATTTCGAGTTAAATTAGACATTTCAATGAAGGTAGATGCAACTTAAAAGAGGCAGCACGACCCTCATTCAGTTTGCGTGGACAGAGACTCGTTCGACATCACGAATAAATAATCACATTTACCACTTTATGCTTTTTCAGTACTCTTTAAGAAAATATATACGCATTAAGATAAATAAAGAATTTGGCATTCGTTATGATATAGACGTTCTTAGGAATGCAAACAAAATTGTAACTAATAGCATATCTTTTCTAAGCAAATAATTATGGTTTTATATTTTTGAATAATTATTTGTGAAGTTAAGAAGCTAGAATAGTGAAAATCTTCACAACGCCTTATGTTTAAGGCCCTCAGCCGATTATGAGTTCATTGAAGTGACTAACATTTTTAATGTTGTACGGATTGGCCAATAGGAAATGAGATGACCTTAACGTGACCTTAGAGATACAGAGACATCAACTATCCACCTGGGGTAATGTTGCAAAGAATGTTGCCTAATTCGCATAGTAAAAAACATCATGACAAAAATGCAAATATGTGGTATATGAGTAATTTAACAAATCAATTTCTCACAGACTTTTGAGTGTGTTTCCATGTTTAAAACAATCATATTTCATTAGAATTACCCAATTTCATTGAGAAAATATAAAATAACCAAACATTTTCTGATAAAAAGGCCAACAAGAAAAGACTGAAGGGTGAACAAAATGGAACTTAAAGCATATTGCAAAAGTGGATAGAAGACATGACGAACAAAGCTATTAGGTTCAAAAAGAGATGCATGATGTGTATTTATGTAATGTGCCTGGAAGTGAAATAGATTTTTCTTTGCTAGTAGTGAATTTTCTTATTAAATATGACTTATTTCTTTGATGTTCAATGTCTCAGTTTTCAGTGTTAGAATCTCTTTGGCAGCAATGGAGGGACAACTTAAGTTAAGGCGATATGGGAAGAGATTTCAAACCGAATTTTTGATATGGTATAATAGACATTCATTAAACGAAGGACATGAAGTGTTTCATTATGATCCCGTGATCCTAATCTTCGATTTCGTTAACAGTTAAAATGGCCAATTCTAAACATGATTCCTTCAATTACAGAGAGCCTGCTGTGTCTGCCAAGAGAATTCAACAGTGCTGCATTCACGGAAACAAAAAAACAATTTAAAAGTGGAATTAATTAAAATGAAATACCCTTACCTGAAATGAATTTCAAAGATTGACTTTTGTAACCAAAGGAGATCACCAGAGTAACTCGAGATGAGTATTTTAGCAGATGACTAAGTAGGGATATGAATTAAGGGCTAGTATACAACCTGATTTATATTAATATAAGAAAACTTGTGTTTTAAAATTCTGAAAAATATGTACTTTAAAAGTCCGGTTTCAAATAATAGCGCCTTATTTATATTTATCCAGAAACACGGGTCTTAAATGCAACTGAGTGAATTTAAAAATGGCTCTTAGATGAATTAAAAATTTCAATGCCTTTCATTCGGCGTTTGAGCGAGCTGTACCAATCCCAACGCAACCACATCATCAAAACAGGATGAGTTAAGTAGGGATTCGTGAGCACCTTTGGGCTTGTTGTTGCACGCATAAGAACAAAGTAAGAGATCAATTGAAAATGATAAATTTATTTTATGTTGCGCGCATTTGTACCATTTGTTGTAAACTTCTTATTCTCGATATAAACACACTGCACTTAAGACAACGTTCTTATTCATTTTAGTCCGCGGAAGGCGTCCAGATTCAAGAGGAGTGACAGGATTCGTACCTCAGTGCAATGCGATTTGGTCGAATGTGTGTGTAACTCAGTGTACACTCAGTGAGTGAGCATTTTTTTAAGTTCATTCCACCGTAAATCAAAATCAATAGCAACGAGAAAGGAGATGGGGTGGACATTCTAATGTCTGATTTCAAAAAAATTGACAACGACAAAGATATTGCAGTTTAGGGTTTCTATAGATCAGAGAAATGGATGAGTGCAAGTGATTACTGATTGAAATTGTTCTATTTCTTTCTTAGATGATTTGATGGAAAGATGTTTTGTTACCCCAATTATAACTCGCAGGTTGCACTGAATCAAAGAATAGTATAGCCAGTTCTTAATGTAATTTGAATTACTAATTGCACTTCTTCATCACATTGACTAGGTTTCACTCTTTTGTCTTCTGTATGTCATGTCATTGCATAAACATAAAAATATTTTCTTATCATCGAGAGTCAGCTAACCGTATTCATAAACCTTATATTTCACAGTGGGGTGTACGATAGACTTACCTCCACGTGGTGCATCCTGGGTAACGTATGCTAATACGGCAAAAAGGTTCATTAACCGGAAGTTGACTTCTGACTCAAACTACCATGACCTCACTGTATTTCATATTCGATCACTTCCATAGTACTCATCTTACCTTTTCTCTGCCTTTGTGTCTGTCTGTCTCTTTAACACCTGGGAATCATTATTCTGTCTCCCTCTCTCGACTTTTTGCTACATTGATGTTCCTTCTCCTCTCTCCGAAGCCCGAGGTCAGCTAAAGGGCTTGTGATAACGATCAAAACTTCTGCCATTTGAAATAATATATCTGTTGATAGGTCTAATGGAGTAAATTGGGGGAACTCAAGTGAAAATCATTTGCATCATCCTTCAAGTGGATAGATAGAAACGTGATAGCTATGGAAATGCACTTTCCAGATTGGGATGGTGTGATTCAGAAAATGTAGTCTCATTCTAACAAATGCTTAATTCTTGTAGTCGCCTAACAATAGCACACATAAAGCGGTGTAAATAGATATCCACCAGGAGCTGTAATCAAAACGATTGCCAATTTGCTAACACTGCGTTCTATCTCGACTCGGAACTTGATGGTAGGTTCGACAAACATTCACCTACAGTAATTATTGCCTTTCATTTCCTGTAATCTTAACACGTACAAACCTCCTTTGAGAATTTATATCATGGTGTTGATTTGTATTCAAGGAGACTTTATTTTTATAATGGAAAATTTTATAATAAACATTAATTTTATTCATTTACTGTCGTTTAAATTGCCGATAATTTGTGCATTACAGCAAGATAATATTCTTAAATGAAATTGGGTAAATAAATTCATGCACTGTCATCATGACGATAAGACAACTTCACACATCCTGCTCAATGCTTTCGTAAGAAACTTTTCGATCGAAGGAGCTTGAACAAAGGTAGTTCTGCGTTCGTCGCAGCGAAGCCTTAGGACAAATAACCAGTTCGTAGAAGAAGCAGGCGACGACAGATCCAAGAATTGGGCCGGCAAAATAAATCTAAAATAGATGGTTAAATGATATTAAAATAATGAATATCAATATCCAAACCGTATATTAAGTCATGGATGTAACTCAGAGGATGGCAAGGATGCACTAAATTTAAATTGTTAAGTTTTCACAAAATCCTCTTCTTATGGGACGCTATCTGCCAATAAGCTGAACACGAATCAACATAGATTTGTTTGGTGCTATGGTTTATGGTGCGTTACTCCGTCATCAGTATTTAACTTGCAGATATAAATATAAATATATAAATATATAAATATAAATATATATATATATATATATATAATTCAAAGTTTCACCACCTTTGTGAAAATTAATAACTATTTTAGAACCATTAATCGCCTTCGACACCGTCTCTGCATGTCACTTTTTTCTCAAGTGAGACATTGTTTGTTTTATTGTTTTCGTCACCCAACTTCCTCTTAATACGCATCATCGTTTAATGTCACTTTTAGTTAACTGTGGTTAGGAAGGAATTAGCTTACCCAAAGGCGATCGTAGTTATTTTGAATGATTGCCGCTGCAAGACTTCTTGTTGGATTCATGCTGGCTCCTGAAAT